CTGCCATTAAGGATAATTTCATCTTTGGAAGGATGATTACTGAAAACTTTCAATAATATTATAAAATCATGTTATTTGAAATTTTAGGTGGTTTAATGATTTAAGAGTATAAGTATTCGATGGAGTAATATGATTTTTTGGTTTCTATCCTATATGACACGTGGGAATTTACACTTTGTATATTATAACACTTCCAACTTTTTAAAATACTTATCCAACCTTTTTATGATACTTGATTTATTTTTAAAATTGTAATTAATCTTAGTTTTGTAATTGTAGATTTTTATTACCCAAAAGAATATATATTACCTCTATGGTATGGTAGTAACATTATCCGATGATTACCTTCGACTATTGATCGGGTATAACTAGTACTTTGAAATTTAAGATGTAAAAGAGATGACTCAAACATTGTTCTTAATTTTTCCAGATTTTGCCGGTTTGAGGTTTGTTCGTGTTATCCTCTCTTCCTTTCCTTACTAAGGCTATATTTTAAGGGCAGCTGACATGGGTGTTGTTAAGGTAAATGATTTTAGTTTTTCAAAAATTTTCCTAAAAACTTAAATATGTATAAAAACATCTTATTTACACTTAAAATAAACTACTCAATTGAATCACCAATACCCCCACGTCCCACGTAGCTTGCAGAGTGCCACTTGTTTGATTTACTGCCTGTAGTCTATAGAAATTTTCTGCTCATGTGGCATTTTCTCAAAAATAAGTGGGGAAAGGGCCAGTTGAGGGAATTGGGCTGGAAGATATTTATTCGTTTGGGCTTTTCCCTTGATGGGCATAAATAAATGGCGGGGGAGGGAAGTGGGATGGATTTGAGTTGCCACAACACCTGCTAAGACTAAGACAGAGAAGCCCAGCCCAGAGAGAAAACAAATGAACAATAATATTAATCGTAACATAATAATTGCGTGATGATAGACTTGAGGTGAGGCCCCATTTGCATGCCTTCTCAATTCTCGATTGAATCATCTCTCATGTTAGAGTTTGTTTGGTGTGATTTGTGAGAGTTTTTAGTTTTTGAATATTATTATAAGTAATAAATTTAAATTTTTATTAAAAAAATTTTAAAAATTATTTTTAAAAATAAAAAAATAATGAATAAAAAAATTTATAAAAAATTTAAATTTAAATTTTTGAGTTTTTATTATTTATAATCTTTTTAAGTTTTAAAAAA